TCCATAAGGAGGATAAGGATAAGGTGCAGGGAATTTTAGAAAGTGACATGTCATTTATTTGTCATACACAGAGTTAGGTTTTACAATTGTATAAGAATCTCCTGTGCTGTTAGAATGTGTAATCCCATCTGATTTTGGAGGATGGCCTGTTTTATTAAAAAGGAAGGCCTTTGTTATTTAGGAGAGAGATCAGCTGCAGTGTCATTTAAGACAGCTGAGTGTGGTTAATTATGGTCCCAATATGTGTTATATAACCTTTTCCTGGAAAAAATATGGTGGATCCCAGTAAAAGGAATCTAAAAAGAATTTGGAATATTTTGTTATGATGGGGCTTGGCACCTTTTGGGCAAGAACAAGTTTTAATCAAATGATGTACAATCAAAGTATAAAGCATGTGTAATCAAAGCACGAGCAGTAGGGCTGACAGTTAAGTTTAGAAACTGCTTTTAGGTAATAGCAATTGTAACTCACCGGCTCTTAGGTCTTCTTGATGGACATTACATAAATTTTTGTTTAAAAATTATCATTTGACTGATGACCTCATGTTGGTTTGACTTGAATCTCTTGGCTGAAGCACAAGAAAAAGGCAGATGTTTGGACCTGAAAGACAATAGTTATCATCATAAACAATCCCAATTTTATATTTGAAGGTATGAATATACCATCAGATGAGCAGTAATGAATTGTCTTAGTCATATGAACTTTAATTGGGGTGTCTCCCATAAGACTATGGAGATTATTGGGGCCTCCAATTAATAACCAAGAGCTGGTTAAAGTCTCCAGGTGGCCACTTTCTCATTCATCAGTTGAAGTCCTTTCCAGTGTCTCCTCACCCCAAGGGATTTTGTTTAACCAGTTTTAGCATCATTTTGGCCAGCTGGCAACCTAGGTGGAAGCATGTTTTTTAAATCTATACCCCAAAGAAACCTTGATGAAATGGTCTGAAAATGCAAAAGAAAAAGGAAAAAAATTGTTGAGCTCGAATAAAAAGGAACAGCTATTTACAGAGCAGATAAATGGACAAACATAGACAGAAAATCTGTACAGTATAAACAGACAGACAAGAGATATATAGACTGACAAACATCTTATAAACTATTTAGAGTATGCTCAAATATATTTGGCCAATTTGAACCATAATAAATAGAGTCATGTGAACCTTTTCATAGATTAATTGAGATCTCTTGAAATAAGAATAGCAGAAAAGGAACCTAATTTGTGGCTAATCTGAGATAGGTCAGAGGGGGAAAAAGGAGCATGAATATGAATTAACCCCTCAGGGCCAGCCTGTTCTTGAAGCAAGAATAGGGCCTGAGGCTTATGAGGCTGTGGAGTGGGAGGTGTATATGGCCACCAAGTACCCAACTGCCCCACAAGCATCTGTGGGCAATTACTGGGTATCTTAGTTACTTTTCACTTGTTTCTGAGACAAAATACCTGAAGCCCAAATTTGGGAAAGGAAAGGTTTATTTCTTACAGTTTTTGGAGGTTTCAGTCCACACTCAGTTGGCTCCGAGACATGTGGGCATGGCTGGCACGCAGTTCATGGGGGCTGCAAACAGCAAAAAGGGACCAGCAAAGAGAGAGAGACACCTTCCTGCCATTACATCACATCCTGGCTCCACCCTTTGTGGGTGGAGCACTGACACCATCAATCCAAGCACTAGATACTGAACAAATAACAAATGCACAATTCAAACTCATGAGGCCTGGAGGACACAGACATAAACCATGACACTGGGTGCCTGACTATAAAATGGCTGCTTGTCACCATGCTACAGGGAAACAGAAGATGATGACTGCTTACCATGAGACCCACAGCTAGATGGCTGCTGCTGGTCCCATGATGAGGGACCACAAGATGGCAGTGCACCATCATCTAGGGGGTCTGCTGGGGAGGGAGGGAGAGTTCTGGTGGAGCAGAGTGAGCCAGAAATATTTGGGCCATCAGAGAAGACAGAGTGAGAGAAGGACACAGCTTCAAAGTGAAAAAGACCTTAAAATGAAGGATTTCTGCCAACTTGCTGCCACTGTGACAAAAGTATAACTAGTGTATCGGCTTTTTGGTTTTTATAGCCTTCTTGAGGCCTAGGGCACCAAGGTTATGAACCCCAGAGGTGTTGGAAATGGTCCTTATGACCAAATTATAGGTTAGCTGAGAGAACAACTTTGCCTCGGGACTTACGCACTTTAGCTGTGAAAGCTGTCCTGGATCACACCTATCAAAAAAGTCATCACCTGCTTTGAAAATGTGACACAAAAGTCCCAACATCTGTTCTGATCCCGGCCATCACCAAAGAATACGGGGCAGGGTCCCAGAGAACAAAAATAAAAGTTTTGCCTCAGGCTGTGCGGCCTAAGGAGCATGAAAACTGGTATCACTGTTCAGGGACGGCAAGATAGGTTTTCTAACAAAAGCTGGCCAATTTTAGGAACAGAAACAGAAATCCCCAGATGGCAGCTCACCTGTGGTGAGTGAGGAAGGTCACTGTTGCATGCAGATTGGCGGCAGCAAGTAAACACTCCCAGAGGGAAAAATAGGTTGTTCATAAGCAGGGTAGCTCCAACTGGGAAGAGCTAACACACTCTGCCATCCAGTCTCAAGGCACCATAATGTTAGATTATTCTGGTACAACAGAGAAGCAAAAGTACAAAATTAACGGGTTTATTGAGCTGAGGATATGGGAAGGAGCACACAAGCCATGGAGCTGAGCTGTCTCCTTCAACCGGAATATGGGGTATGGGGTGTACGTAACCTGTGACCACGGTGGTGTTTAGGGTGGGCATTGATGATGCATAAGGAGCTGGTTGGAATTTTCTTTGAGTGCACGGGGAGGAAAAAGGAAGTTGTGATAGGGGAAGGAGGAAGTGACCTCAGGGTAAACATCCCCAATTTGGCCTTCCACCCCCATAATGTCCCGTAATTTATTCTAGGACAAAACTCTTTCACTTTATTGCATTCATTGTCTTGTTTTTCTTGTTTCTGTTCTATTCTGTTCTGTTTGGTTTTACTATGTCCGAAGTTATTGGCAGCTAGTTTGAAGACATTGAAAGGCATTGTGGTAAATATTGTTGATTTCATAATGTTTTGAGGCCTATATCTCTTACACTGGTTTGTTTTGATTGGTTTTATTCTGTTTGGTCCTCTTTAAAATATACAAAAAACTAAAGGAAGGGAGAAAGAAGCTGTCAGTCCTTCAATAAAATTTTATGCTCTTAAACTCTGTGGTTCCTTAGAATTCACTCTTGATTTTGGGGAACACAGACTTGGTGTATTGAACACCCAGCAGGTCGGGAGTTATAATATTTGCCTTGTGTCATTTGGATGCTCTGTATCACACCCACAGGGGCCTCCTTCTGCATCTCAGCAGGGCTGGCTGTGCCCATCTGAGACTTTGACACTGGCTGCCTCTTCCCCTCAGGTTCCCACTGCAGTCCTGGCCAGGCCTAGCCTTTCCACACTCACGGCTCACTCAGGTGTCCCCTGTGTCCACCAGGTGACTCCCAACCTACATAGTCTTATTCCCAAGTCTCTAGCATATCACTCCTGTTGACCTCATTTGGAAACTGTAAGTCACCTTGAACCAAAGGACACGTGAGTGCTCGGAGCACATTTAGCCAGACTCTTCCAAGTGTGGATTTGGGGGTGTGTCCATCCATTGCAGGCTCCCTAAGGAGACACTGTGCTCAGCATAGGGTGACCAGGGCCTCTTAGCTCCTGCTTCATGGCTGTCCTTTGGGAAACGCAAAAGCAAAGGTCTTGGCTCTTTATCCTGAAGTTCTGATGTTCATCAGTTCGAAGACAAGAACTCTGTTCACTGGACCTATAACTCCTAAGTTAGCTGTGTTCCTCTTTTCTGACTTTAGAATACCTGCAGCAGCACAAGGTCCTCTGAATGATGGTGAATAAGATTTGTATATATAATTAAAATTTGATATTTCAAATCTTTAGATTTTATCATGCAAATTAGAGGAACTAAAAGTCAGTCTTGGTAAATTTTACTCATGTTTGTTATGCAAAGCATCCAGCCTTGAGCAGTGCCCCTATGGAAGACATGCCTGTGTCTACAGGTCCTCCCAAAGCCTCATAAAGTCATAGATGGGCGTTTTTCAGAAGCCGTTGAAACTAGGGTGCGTGACGCTGGGACTGATTCATGGTGCAGTGCTAGCATCAAGGGCACTAGGATTAAGGGTGTGAGTGCTGCCCACCCGGAATAGCCTGGGTAAAATATAAGGACTAGTACGTGTTGTGGTGGCCCTTTGCTTGTTACTTTTGTTGTTTAGAGCTTGCCGTGAACTGTTTCTCCTCTGTGACGTCCCTCTGCCAAGCCACCTTATCTGGGAGCCAGGAGATTACAGACTAAAACCTCTGCAAACTGTGAACTAGATAAACCTTTCCTCCTTTAACTTCGGGTGTTGGTTTTAGTGTCTTAGCCATGAGAAGGTAACTGAGACAGAGGGCATACCAGGTGCTCAAAGCAGAAAAAGGTCTTCATGGGACTTTTATGATTAGTACCAGAAAGCAAAGGTAATATAAGTGTGAGGAGAAATGATGTGGATAAAACAAAAGTTGCCCTTTTGAGTGTCAATTCCTGGATTGCAGAGACCTTAGAGGTTCAAGAATCCATCCACACAGGCAGTTAACTCAGTCCTGTGAGACAGGGGATCATTGGAAGAGGTGTGATTGGGGCGTGGTTTCTTTGTCTTTAAAAAAATTTTTGGTAAATTTCCTTTATCTTTAAGGATTATGACACGATTGGATTATGTAAGTATAGGACTGGTGTTTGACATGGAGAAGGTGTTAAGAACATTAATTCCTGTGATCTCAGAACTTCACATTTAGGTATACTGAGGCTCCACCTGGCACTGACATTCCCCATCCTTTCCTCAAGTTATGGTGTCTCGCAGTGCAGTTAAAAGGTGGGGATCCACCAAATGGGTTCTTTCCAGAAACCCATAAACCACACTTGTTTTGCTGGACTTTTTTTTTTTTTTTTCAGAGAAAGGGTCACAGCTTCCTGAGAATATAATCTGCTTTGATCCCAGCGAATCTCACAGACTCAAAAGCTCCTGCTCCTGCTCTGCAGACTTCTAGCTGGGCAGGACTGGAGGGCTGAGGTGCTGTGATCCAGAACTCAGGTCCCAGCCTCTTCTCCTGAAAGAGAGGGGCCCTGGCTCTGCTCACGACCCTGGAACACCGCAAGGAGAACTGAGTCACACTGGTGGAAGAAAATACAGTGCGGAGGATTACACTGATCTGGGCTAGAGCTTGTGACAAATTCTGCTTGTCATCAGAGAATCTGAAGACAGGACAGGACCCTGCTCTGCTCCACTTACAGGACAAAGCTGACCCACAATCGGGTGAGTGTGGTGGAGTCAGGGAAGGAGCAGGGGAAGCTGTACAGCCAAAGGCAGAAATGTTCAGGATGGCTTGTAGGTCCAAGATCGTTTGCCTACAGAATGTGACCAACAAAAAAGAAGATGCTTGTTCCTCTCATTTTGCTTAGGAGAATTAATGAGGAATTCTGAGACCATGGAGGCTGTGTCCAGGTTGAGTTACAGAGTTCTGATTACTTTGTGTTCCCATCAACACTTGGGGTGATTCTGTTGTGCCCATTCTGAAAAAATGTGACTTCTTACTTTTTAAACCTGCACTACCTGAGAAATATGATGTTGAATATCTTTTCATTCATTTCTTATTTTTACATCTATTTTGATGACAAAAGGCTCAGGACTTTTCCTATCGAAAATATTTTTTAGAACTGGTTGCTATGTTTCCTTTTTGTAAATTTTTTATGAGGTTTTAGCCACAGATTGTCAAAACCTGTCAATTCTATTGAAAAAGAAAAAAAATTATATTTCCTTCGATATTTGATAGTTCACCTAAAAATCTACCTGGATTTAGCTGAAGATTTACATATGTATATATGTAAACATACATATTGTATATATCAATATACATCTTCAGTGATATATATGTATACATACATATTTTATCTTAATGTCTTTAATAGTTTCAGGTGTTTTAGGATTAAGTATTATTTTTAAGTATGTATGTCTCAATTATTTTTCCCTAGGATATTGTTGAGTCTATTTAATGTTTATGTTTATGAGCAAAAGCTTATATTTGGTAATTTCTGAAATTAGATTCTCTTTCCACTTTTTTCTTCCTGCTCAAGCTTGAGCAAAGTTTGCCTCTGTGTTTGCTTTCTTTGGACTGAGGTTTGAGCTCAGGGGCTCTCATGTGCTAGAAAAGGAATCTAATGTGAGCTATACCTCCAATCCATTTTAAAAGCTTTGAGACAGCTTGCACTGAGTTGCCCAGCCTAGCCTCACATTGGCATCCTCCTGCCTCAGCCTGTGCCATAATGAGGATTTCAGGTACGTGGCACCATGCCTGGCTAGGTTGTATGTTTTGTCTTTAAAATCGACTTTAAGTTTTTGGCTTCACTAGCATATTTTTCTTTATTATTTCATTAATTTTTTACCATTATTATACCTGTATTTTTAGCTTTATTTTTTCTTTCAATCTTTTGGGTCTACTTTATAGTTCCTATTTGAACTACTTGGTTCAAAAGATTGTCTTGCTTTTTGGGCCATCCTTTTTGGTCTCACAAATATAAAATACACTTCAAAGTTCTAGTATATCTGTAAATATCAGATTAGTTGTATTCCACACATTTTATTATCATTTCTTCTTTGACTTGTGAATTATTTAGATATGTATATTTCTTCTTTTTGTTCCTGCATATTGTGACATTTATATGATTTTATAATATAAAAATGGGTGGAAGAATGATAAACATGATCTGAGTAATACTGGCTCTTGATATTCATACACTTGCCTTGTAACACGGGTTGTGTTTCATGAATATTTAGTCCCTGTGTGTGAAAAGGATGGGCAGTCTCCTCCCGAGGTGTGTGGCATCATCTATACGCCCATTGTGTCCTTTCATAACTGTACTGTTCGTGTCTTCTTTATCAGTGCGATTCTTAGAGCAAGGTTTGATCAACAAATTGCCGAGTTCCCCATAGTAGTATTTGTCCTTAACTTTAAGGCTACTTTGTGAGACTCATCTATGCTTTGAGTTATTGAATGTTCTTCTTCCTATAAAGTGATTAGGTAGGTAACTGTCATCGATGGCCCTGATGAGGATTTTTAACTATGCATGTGTCATTAGCAAGATTGCTTGGTAAATTCTTGTCTTTTCGCTGAGCTGGGCTCTGAGGGAAGAGAGACCGTTTCTGTCTCACTCACATAGGGAAATTTCCCAGGACAGGTTTGGCAGCTAACAAGCACTCACTAAACTCGCTGACTGACTGAGTGGTAACCAAGTGAACAAAGCAGTTCCCGTGTGTTTAGCTGCGGGAAGGGAAACCCTTTTCTCTGCAACTCTAACTGGTTAACATGCGCTCGGCAGTGACAGATGTCCAGGACTCTGCTCCCTGCTCTGCTCCCTGACGGTCATCTGTATGGACGTTGAGTAAGGTGGGCTGAGGACCATGCCAGGCATCTCTGGCTGTGCCTTCTCCTTCCTGTGTGCGTGTGAGGAGGACCTGCCTCTCCCTGGGGAGATTGCACATCAGCGTGCTGCTCACTTTGCTGACTTCAGGGCCCTTTAACCCCTTCTGTCTCAGCGAGGGGCTCTACAAGAAAAACCCACCTTGTGCTCACGAGTACCCCAAATGCACGCAGAACGATACACGTGTGTGCACTTTGTTCTCTGGTATTTCACAGCCACCTGCCCTTTCCAGGCGGTGACTCATGGCTCCCAGGTCACCTTCTCTGCCTCTGTCACACCCACTGATATGTGCCTGCCTTCACTCTCCACACTGCCCTGCAGAGGCCGGTTCAGAGTGGCTTTGCTGGCATCCACAGCACCTCCCGGAGCTGTGCTGAGTGTGGGGCTCTGAGCCTCACAGAGCCACCTGCCCCTCACTCTTGTCTTGGATTTTGTCTCTACCTTCAGCGCCAGGCCGGGACCTGATCACTGCACATCTCTTCACCTGCAGAGGCCTGATCCAGTCCACTGACAACTTTACCTAGATTACTGCAAACTGTCCCAACTGTACACCTTGCCCTCACTTTAGTCTCTGTCACCACCGTAACCACAGGCAGGATGTCTCCAGGTGCACCAGAGGTGTCCCTGGGAGCTCAGACCCTGCTGAGGATTCCTGTTTTCACTGCAGGTCAGAGAAAGAGCAGACAAAGACCAACTGGGCCCATCGGGCACCAATGTGTCCCTGATTCTTCTCACCCCATAAGCTTTTTTTCCCTCCTCATTTCTTAGGCATGAGTGTGAGCTCGGAGACTTTGCTCTGGCCAATGCTCGATTTGGAATGATACCGGGTATGCTCCCTGTTTGTACCTACCTCCTTTACGTGTTGTTCATTTGTCACTTCTGAATGAGGCCCTTTTGCAAAAAAGTGTATAACTGCCAACACGGTCATTATACCACCCTCACAGCCCTTTGCCATGAGCCCAGCCTTAGCTCTGGCTCTTCAGTTAGCGGTGGAAATGAGCCTTCCTCCTTCCTGTCCTTAGAGAACCCCTGAGGTAGAGAGGATGGGCACCAGGCTTTGTTTCTAAAGCCAGGAGGAGCAGTGAATTTCACAGCAGTGCTGTGGCCAGAAGCCCAGGCTGTCTGTAGAACACTTAAATGACAGAGTTATGATCCAGTCACCATGCTAAGACTTGATTTCTCATGTGTAGGTTTTTTCCTTTATGAAGTATCTGAAAAAAAAAAACAAAGTAAAGGTGATCCGGCCCGCGGATCAATCCGTGGTGTGTACCTACAGGGGGAACGGGGATGAAATAAAACAGGGGGGAGACAAAGAAAGATTGAAACAAGGTGAAAGAATCTGATCAAGCCTCGTTTATTCAGGAAATGATCACATCTTTTATAGGTCAAGGCGGGCTGGTGGGACTGGAAGAGGCTATGGGGATGAATACAACAGGGTCATCATCACATCCGGGTATGTGATGTAAGCAGGAGAGGATTATGGTTAATGTAGGCAGAGGCATTATGTGCCCATAGGAGAGAGAGGTGGGGAGGCAGCAATGGGACAGTCGCACTGCTCCCTACATCTCTTCCCCTTCTATATTATTTAATCAGGAGTATGGTAGGCCCTGTGAGGACAGCACCTGTCTTAGGTCAAGGAAGCTCATTACATGAACCCAACCGGGCCTTACCCGTCATGGGCGTGCAGGACAGCAGTTGGTTTTGTGTCTGTCGTAGGTGGCCAATGGTGTAACATGTATGTCTTAGTTGCCCGTCTCTGGCTGCCCGGCCATTGCCCCAGGGCAGTTAGGCCACATCATCATATGGGCCACTCTTGGGAAATTCTTCCCCGTAGGTTTGTTGATCTGCCATCTCTAGCTGGTGATAGTATACCTGAATGGGCTTTTCCATAAACGCGTCTATCCAGTTATTACTGAGCGTCATAATCCTCTGAAAAATACAAGGGCCCACAGAAAGGAGAAGCAACAGGGGGACCTACAGCTAGGGGACCCAAAAAGGGGCACTAGGTAAGGGAAAAGTACCCCCCCCCACATCGAGGAGAAGGGGTTAGCAGCCATTTCTTGTTGTCGTTGTTGAAGCCATTTTTCTATTTTTTGGAGCTTCCCTCGCACAACACCGGACTGATTGACATAGAAGCAACATTTTTTTGCAGTCTATTTGGCTGGTTTGTGTTCCTCCAGATTGAAAAGAGCCTCCTCCACAGTCACAGGGGGTTCTGTGCGTGGCTGTCAGCAGTTGTAGTCTGTTTGGTGGGCGTCTAAATCCACCATGGGTGTGGTCCGTTCCAAGGAGAAGGCTGAGTAAGCAGCATAATGCTCCGAGGAGTTGTGTCATCTGTAAAAGAGCACAGGGGGCTGTGCCTCAGGAAATGACATTATTCCCGGGGGTTGCATGGGGTCTTTGAATAACTGTCTACTTATTTTACAAGGCGCTCAGGTAGCCATCTAGCCTCTCTGTCTTGTTGAGAGTAAACACATACTGAGCCTCGTCCCCAGATAAGGACTGGGTCGGGGCCATTCCACATATTGGTTAGTGGGTCCCTCCAGAAAACAGATGCAAATCGTGTTTGAGTTTGAGTATGCCAAAATCGAGATGCCGCGGAGCAGCCTGAAACATCCAGGGTCAGAAAATTTAAAATGAAGAGAGCATGTGAAAGGATATTTCTAGGGGACCCCCGGGTTGGGTACCATGTCTCCCTTTTTATTTTGTCTATGGTGAGTTTAAGGGAACGGTGTGTGAGGTTAACAATGCCTTGTCCCTGAGGAGTATAAGGTATACCTGTGGTGTGGGGGATATTAAGGCACTTGCAAAATTGGGTGAAGGAGGTATTGGTATAGCCAGGACCGTTATCGGTCTTGAGCTGTTGAGGACATCTCAGAACTGAGAAGGCTGACAGCATATGGGCTATAACGTGTCTGGCAGCTTTTTCAGTCTGGAGAGTGGTGAAAATGAAGCCACTGTATGTATCAACAATTACATGTATATGTTTTAGGTTGCCGAACTCATTGAAATGAGTAACGTCCATTTGCCACAAGGCGTTAGGGATTAAACCTTTAGGATTGACTCCCAGGTGTTGAACAGGCAAGTGAATAGCACAAGAAGGTGATTTTTTATAATTTGTCTGGCTTGCTCACGGGTAATTTTATGGAGGAGGCAGAGAGTCTGAGCATTGAGATGGAGTAGCTGATGGGCCTGTTGGGCCTCAGACACCTTAGAGTGATCTGTAGGCTCAAAATGAGTCATAAAGACCTGTGCTCATGTGACAACATCAGCCAGATGATTTTCGTGGGCAAGGGGCCTAGGGAGGTTGGAATGGGCTCACAGATGACCAATAAAGAACTTATGATGGCAAAGCCGTATGAAGTCTTGTAATTGTTTGAACAAATTTGCAGCCGGTGAAGCATGACAGATGGTAGCAATAGTCTCTAATAGTGGAACAGACTGAGCGAGATAAGCACTGTCAGTTTACAAATTAAAGGGTCGGTCGGGGTAAACGGTAAAGACTATAAGCATAGCCTGTAACTCTGCTAACTGGGCAGAGGAGGTGCCTGTCTGGAGGGTAAAAACATTGTCTTGGGATACATAAGCGGCCCTGCCCGAGGAGGAGGAGTCATGACTTTTATTTCCCCTGTGTAATCACTATCTACTATCCTGGGCAGAACTTGTAATCCTTTAAGTGTAGTGCTATTACGTCCAACAATAGTAAGTCCAAAAGTCCCGGGGGGAGGGGTCCATAGATCCCTGAGGGCATGACCTGGACACACATGTCAGGGGTTAATACTGTGTTGGAGGTGGAACAGAGGTCCAATCCTGCATTCCCTGGGGTTGCCCTGAAGAGGTCTGAAATGGATGGTTTTGTGTTGGGACAAACCTTGGAGCCCCAGGGGTTTGTCTGGAATTGGGGGCCTGGGGCTGGCCCCGTGTCCCGTTTCCCTGTGGGGGAAGAGGGTTACCATGAACATCTCTTTTGGATTTGCACTCATTAGTCCAGTGGTCTCCTCATTTGCATCTGGGACATAGCCCTGGATTTTTTGTAGAGGACTGATTTTGATTTTTACTTTTGTAATCACGAGCCATGTGGCCGCTTTGGCCACATTTGAAACAAATGGTATCTTTTTAGAATGAAAGAGGAGTTGTTTAACTATATAACCTTGTTGTGTCGCGGCCATGGCTAGGCCTTGATGATAAGCAGGCCCAATATCTGCGCATAGGCGAATATAACCCAATAGGTCCTCCTTTTTGCGATGCAGTCGAATTGCAGCTTGACAAGCTGAGGTTGCATTTTCATAAGCCAATTATTTGACCAGGGCAGAGTTTGTTTCTGTGGAACGGAAAAGATGGTCTGCTGCCTGTAGGAGATGATTGACAAAGTCTGAAAAGGGCTCCTCAGGCTTTTGTTTTATTTGGGTGAGAGACAAGGTAGCCTCACCTCCTGAAGGGAGCCATTTTTATACTCTAGTGGCTGCCACATTAATCTGCGAAAAGAGGCCTGAATTGAACTGCATTTGGGTATCTTTTGTGGCAAAATCTCCTGTTCCTGTAAGCATAGCGAGGGTCTAGGGGTTTTGCCGTGTGGTGTTATCTCTGGCTGCGCCCTCGCATTGATCAAAAAATTCAGATTTCCATAATAGATAATTGACTCTGGAGAGGATGGCTTTTGCTATGTCTTTCCACTCATTAGGAATAATCCAGCCCTGAGTCAAAGAATCTAGAACTGCAACGGGCCGTATTGAGAGACTGCGACCTTTAACTGTTTTAGAGCTGTCACGGTGAGAGGTGTTTGTATCCTAACCGCTTGTGGTTCAATGCCCTCTTCAACATCCCGTGGAGGAACAATGGCCTCCATGACTGGGAATGCCATTTTCAGCTGGCTGCCGGACGCAGTTGCCATTTTAAGAGCACCACGAGTCTTGCTGGAAGCAGGTGCCATCTTAGGGCCACAATAAGGCTGTGTAGCTTGGAGGGCCTGCAATTGAGTTGAAAGATTTTGGCATTCTTTTTCTAGCTGTATCTGTTTTAAAATACCCCCCTTTTTTGGTTCTAATTCTGCTAGTATGCTAGAAGGTTGAGGCCAGAAGCTAAGTGCATTATCATAGTCAGGGTGCTTAATTGTGGCTGGTGCCACAGCAGGGTCAGGGTGGTATGTAGAGGCTTATTTTGCTAGTTGTTCCCAGTCAACCTCTTGAAAATCAGAGTGGTCAGGGTATAAAACCTTATTTGAATCTCCAATTGGCCATGGAGGTGTGGGGGGTGGTGGGCCGCCATCTTGGCACTGTTGATCATGTCGACAGGAGGAAGTGGGTGGCAGATCACCATCTTAGAGGATTTTTACCATGTCATCAGCCTCTGCTTCTGAGAGGTCAGAGGCTCCAGATTTTTTGAGGATGGTTTTGGGGTAGAATTAGTGGAGTCATGCAGTGCAGCCTCACCTTGTACAACCGTCTCCTCAATCTGAGGATTTGCATGCCACTGAGTCAGCAGCTCAGAGATTAAATTCCAATATGCAAAGGTGGTCACCAGAACCTTTCCTGCACCAAAAACCCTATAATAATCTTTTAGAGCATCTCTTACTCTTTTCCACCTCTTGGTATCTACAGAGCCCTTTAGGGGGAACCAAGCGCACATCTTATGGATAAACTGAAAATACTGCAACCATTTTTTGTTCTAACCCTTACCCCTCTTGTCTTTAATGTCTTGCTAAGGCCTCTCACGAACAATTTATGTTTGCTCAATGCTTGACTCATGTCGGGGAAGGTAGATGAGGTTGCCGTTTACTTACCGTGACTTGGGCGGCACGTCGGGCTGTCGTCTGCGCAGCCCTCGGTCCTTGATTTAATTTGCTTTTACTTTTAGCCTCGGTCTTTGATTTAGTTTGCTTCCTGTTTTAGCCAGCGTTTTCCCTGGCTCCCTTGTTAACTCCCCCATGCCAGGAGCCCCACGTTGGGTTCCACTTGTTCCGGACCGCGTATCAATCCGTGGGGTTGCCTGGAGGGAGAATGGGGATGAAATAAAACAGAGGGGAGACAAAGAGAGATTAAAGCAAGTAGAGAATCTGATCAAGCCTCGTTTATTCAGGAAGTGATCACATTTTTTATAGGCCAAGGTTGGGCTGGTGGGACAGGAAGAGGCTACGGGGCAGCAATGGGGCAGTCGCGCCACTCCCTACAAAAGGAAGTATCTGAAGTCCATGAGTGTTAACCCTTGTCCTCTTCTTCCCAGCTGGTCTTTGTGTTTGTTCCTACCTGTTCCTAGCAACATGGCAAGCATATTTGAGCAGGCTTGCAAGAACATGATCAAAGACCTTGGAGGCAAAGATATGCGGCCTGTCACGTGTGCACTGGATGCCAACAAATTCCGTCAGTTTAGTTTAATACGGAAGAAACCTCAGTTTTTTATTTGGGAACATCCTGATGACTTTCCAGTTGGATATTCTCTCATGCAAATTCTGGAACCAAATTCTTCAATCCCAGGTACTAACAGCCAGGGGAGAAAGGATTCAGGTGTGATACGCAAAGTACTCAAAGTATCTTACAGCATCCAGGAATCCCCAAGACACTTAGCCAAGTAGATCCCAGAATCCACCTTGCCTGAAGGCAAGGTTGAAAGTGCTAACATTGTTTGAGCCTCTGTCTGGACTCAGGCATTTATAGGTGCCTCCAGATACTGTAAAAGTAAATAGAAGTTGATAGAGATGATTTGTTCAAAGTTATAGAATTGGGCCCAAACCCAGGTCAATCTGTCTCCCAACTCCTAATATTGCCCATCCCTGTTAGCACCCCCTTGTGGTGGGCTGCTGTGCTGTGTCTCTGGCAAACTAAACTGAGACTGGCATTTCTTCAGGGGAAGGATGGATCCCTGTTGTGAAGTGCTTGGATTGATTGGAACATGCCCTCTGTGATTATTTACTTCTAATCTTAACTGATTATCTTCTTCATTAGGAGATTGAAATGAATGAGAGGGTTTGGGAGAAAATTGCCCTTATTTTTTATATTTCCATTATCAGTGGTTCAAAGAGGAATTCTTGGCTACATCTCTCTGGTTTCTTTTCTCTTCCCAGACTCTGAAATAACTAAACCACTTTGCATCATGAACCTTGGTGCTAACAAGATGCAGGCCGATGTGGGCATCCATGCTGGTGTGGAAGCGAATGTGTTAGCAGAGGTCTCTTCATCCCATGGATCCACATTAGAGATTCAGAATGTTAGCATCCGAAACCAGGATCTGGAAAACCTTCAAAACAGGTGAGGCCGCTGGAGATGAAGGGGCAGGTCACGGAGTCCCAAGGAATGCTTCAGTCCTTGGTGAAGAGGCTTCTCGCAGGACTTTCTGCTGGGATTGCAATGAAGAAACAGGTGTCCCCAGCTATGCTGCTGTTTAGTGTTTGTTCCATCAATGGTTCAATGTACTATCAATGAACTATTGTTAACAGGTAGTTAGAGCTGTTGGTTACCTAATATGTATCCATTAGGGAAAATTTTATCTATTGTTTTAGTCTGGGGGATAGGACTACAAGACCAACAAATATTCCTGTGCCCGAGCAGCTTGTATTTAGTGGAGATGAGATGGAGGTGTAATGAGGAAATAAACAGTAAAAAATAGGTCAATAGCCAGGCATGGTGGCGCATAATTCTTGCAGCGTGGGAGGTGGGAAGATTTTGCATCTGAATCTAGCTTGGGGCTCTCTGTAACTTAGTAGGAGCCTATGTCACCAACATGAAATAAAAGATAAAAATAAAAAATAGGCTGTGGATATCCCTCAGTGTGAAGTTTCTGGATTCAATCCTCAGCACTGGAAAAAAGGTAAAAAAGCAAAACACTAGTTATAGTGAGAAAGAGATGTTGAAAGTCTTCTAAAACCATGACTATCTTGGTATCTTGGCATTATTTTAAAACTTTTTCCATGCTCCACTGGGTAAAACAGAAGTAAAACTGTCAGTCTAGGTTTTATGGAAGGATGAGTTGGATATCTCAGTGACCGCAATCAAGTCATTAATCGTTCTGTCAGCTCACCTGCCAAGTGTTTTTAGCTTTGGTTTTTAGCTTCCGTATCTGCTGCCTTAGCACAGGTCAGGTATACAAGGCAGTGCTGTCCACTGTGGTCTCCAAGCTGTGCCTCCAGTCACGTCCTGGGACCCCCCTGCATCCTGGATCCTTTCACTGTGCACTTACACTTGTTAGCTAGCGTTCTAGTAAGGGTGTTTGGCTCTCCGTGCGTCATGTGTGGTGGGCTGTCCTCCCTTCCTTTTCCTGCCATGGGCTTCTCAGCATTGACAGCAGGGTGATGCTGGTCGTCCACTTTGCGTGTTACATATCAGATTTGTGGGGTCCCTCAGCAGCCCACTGTGCCTGGAAGGTGACTGCATCGTGGGTGCACGCCACTCATCTGGGGATTAGTCCACTGTTTCCTTCCTGGCTGACCTGCAGCTCTCAAAGGATAGAGTATTTTCCAACCTTTTACTTTCAGTCTAATAATTTCTTTTGGAGTTACATGAGTTTCTTGAATGCAACAGATTGCTGAATTTCCTTTTGTGATCCTCAGTCTGATTCTGATTTATCAGAAAGTTATTGAGGTTTTTCTTTCATTGTGTCCTCTTTCTGTTGTTGACTCCTTAAGTTTTTTTTTTTTACTTGTTTAATTACTTATCTTTCTTCATATGTTCATTCCATCTGAGTTTTTGAGTTTGTTGACTAAATTGTCTCTGTAGGATATTTTTACTCTTATTGGAGTGGTAGTTTGGTATTCTGTCTCTCTTTGTCTCCCTGTATCTCTTTCTCTCACTGAGACAGATTTTCGCTGTGCAGTTCAGGCTGGCCTTGAATTCACTTTGTGGCCGAGGCTGGCCTCAGACTTGCAGCAGTCCTCCTCCTGCTTCAGCCTCCCCAGTGCTGGGGTTACAGGTGTGGGCCGCCACACCTGGCTGTTGTTCTCTTCGTATGTTCCTTGTTGTGGGATGTCCTTGTTTTTCCACGAGTTATTTTTGAAACATGATCTAGCTCTGCAATTGAGGCTGACCTTGAAGTCACTGTGTAGCCTGAGCTGGCCTCCATTCTCTTGCCTCTTCATCCCCAGGGCTGGGATTACAAGTATGTGGCATCATGCCTGGGTCTCTCCATCAACTTTCCAAGAAGGTTTTTCAGGATATGCTAGTTTGGTCAGAAGTTGTTTTCTTTTAGGGATTGGCACACTTCACACCCCTGAACTTTAAAGTCTGTGTTGAGAAGTCTCATTTACTCCAAATGGATTTATCCTTATGCACAATATTTTTTTCTTTTGGTCTCCTCCTACAGCTTTTAAAATTCGGTCTTGTTTTCCTTTTCCGTCTTTCTGTTAGACAACTAGGATTTTGAGAATTATGTGCTATGGGAAGCTTCTGTTTTCACTGTAGTTATCTGGTGTTCTGTAAGCCTTAGTTACCTACATGTTAAATTCTTCATACTGGAAGATTTTCCTGCTATAATTTTTGCAAACAGGCCTTTTATTCTGTGTGCTGTCTTCTGATTTCTATCATCAGTTAGCTTTAGCTTAGTCTTCCTAGCTAGTCTTCATCAAGTGGCAGTTGGATAACATTTTCTTGTTGTCTTACAATTTTAGCGTCTGTCATAAATGATCATGAAGTTCCATCTTTGTCCTTGATTTCTGAAATCATTTCTTTTTGGTCATTTCTGTTGTTTATCAATTCTATCAAATTCTTTATCTCTAGGACTTCTGTTTGCACTTTTGATGGAATCTAAATCTTTTTCAAAGTCTTAGTTCATGGGTTGAACTGTTTTGGTTAACTCTTCCAATTTTAAAATTCACTCCTCCTATATTCTCATTGGTCAGTTTGTGTGTCAGTTTTACTATCTGGTTTATGCCATCTTTTAATTTGCCAAGTTTTCTTCCTGACTCTTATTTTGTGCAGCTTAGTCATCTGGTGTTTGCTTTCCTTTGACTGGTGCCCTGGGATCTGCTTTGGGGTTGTTTTGTGGCATTCCTTTTCATATTTCTCTTTTCTTTTGATGCTGATGGTTGAGGTGAAATACAGTAAGGCAGATTGTTATTGATATCAGCATCTCTTCAGTTTGGTTTTATTTTCTAATAATGTATTCTTGGCTTATTTCTCCAACAATACTGTGTGCCCCTTCTACCTATTCAGTGTAGTTGGGTTGGACCCTGTCTCTCTGCTGTAAACAGAGAATTTCTATTGGATAAAAGTGTCAAAAGTATCAATCCAAAACGTGGCAACTTGCTTAATAATTTCACTGGTAAAACCTCCAGCAGAACACACTGATTTGCACTCTGTGGTTCAGGTGCGATGTGTGTGGATAGAAGTGGAGGGAAAGAGTATGCCAGTGGGCAGGGAGGGGCTCAGAGAAATGTCAATAGACAAAAGCCATAGGAAGTTGGATACTGTTGGGGCTATATTATAGCTGGTTACCTCCCTATTTCCTATTTTTTTACCTTTATTTTGTCCTTATTTAAATTCAAGGCTTACTATATAAAGGTAACCATGTAACACATGTAAGCTTGTGCATCTGATTTATTTCAGAAATGTTGGTGTGGGTGCTGAACTTTGAAAATAGAGCCTTGTCCAAACTCTTCTTAATCATCTGGACCCATCTACTTCTGCCCTTTGAGATGTCCTAGGGTGTGAAATACACAAATTGTCCTTTACTGGGACCAATGTAATTTAGTAAAATGTAGGTGGCCTCAACCATTCAGGACAAATAGTCTCACACCTATGCTACTATTAGATTTTCTTTTAAGTGTACCAGGAATCAAACTCTGGACCTTGTGCTTGCCAAGCAGGCATTTTTGCTGTGGAGCTAAATCCCTGGATCTTGTACTGCCTGTCGAAAGTGGGGTCACATCCGTGCTACCTAGCAAAGATGGTCTTTGCCCTAGGCACCTTGATATAAGGACCCAGCTGTCCCCACCCCCAGGGCTCCCGTGTCAAAGGCTCTGCACCCCCTTCCAGGTCATGAGAAGCGTAACCCGGCACATGCCCAAGGACATCACATGCCCACTCTGAACCTTTGCTCTTCATGTACCTCAGGAAACTGTTGGACCCAGAGCCCTCGTTTTTGAGAGAGTGCCGAAGGAGAGGGGACAACCTGTATGTGGTGACAGAAGCTGTTGAACTGACCAAAGATAGTATCCTGTATGACAACGGCAGTGTGACTATTTCAGGGATGTTGTCTTCCCCTCAGTTTACTTTTATCAAGGTATGGAATGGGGTCACCAAGGAAGGAGCCAGCCTGGGCAGCTTAATATTTACCAAGGGCCCTGGAGCCTATTCAGAACCTGCTCTGGAGAGGAGGGAGGTGACAGGTGTTCCCTCATTATTTCCTGAGGTCAAGGTTCATGAGGTCCTGCCCTCTAGCAGGGGCCATATTCTAAAATCCTCATGAAGAAGGCTTATGTATAGAACTGCTCAGCATTGGTAAAATGAGAAATAGATTTAATTATTCTGTTTATTTATTTTATTTTTGTAACTTTGGGTATTGAACCTGGGGCCATCACATTGAGCTACATACTCAGCCCCTAATTATTTTTAATTCTGAGTCAGCTCCTTGCTAAATTGACAAGTTGCCTTGGCTGAGAAGAATTTGTTGCCCACCTGCCTCAGCCACCCAGAGTGTTGGAATCACAGATGTGAGCTGTCACATCTTGTTTTGGTGTTTGATTTTATTCTGGGTGTAAATAACATACCCTCAAATATCTAATGTGACCATTTGGTACCAGGCTCACATCTGGTTTCCTGGTTGGAGGAAAGAAGAGAGCGGTAACACCAAACTTCAGTCACTGTAGTGACTTTAATTCTGTGACAGCCTCCTAGGAAATGCTCTAAGCAGTGAGAAATCGGTGCTTTCCTGCACACACAGCTTGCATACTTCACTCACAATAACCAGATACAATGTTTGAGTGAATATAAGCAAATTGATTGAACAACTATTTACTCAGACTGTGTGGGTTGGATGCTTCTGTCTTTTTCCACACCATATATCTGAGTTATTGGTCCCCTGTCTAGTACTTCAAAAATAAACGACAACCTCAGATACATATCAATGTTCCCACACTTGGTGAATTAGACATGAGTGAGCCCAGGCTCCACCCAGGTTGTGGGATCCAAGTTCACTAAGTATCTAGATCCACACCACAGTACTTAAGTAGCAAGTTCTGGAAGGCTTACCTCAAAAATAACGTTTACGTGCTTCTAAAAAGAAAGAGAAAAAACTGTCTTATTCCAAGTAACTTCAGCCTAGAATTCTTTGTCCAGTCAAAGTACCAGTCAAAAGGGAGTCAAAGCTGTCTTCAGGTATACAAGGTCCTAAAGCCCAGGTCCGCATCTCCCCAGAGAGAATGCATGAAGTGACAGAAGAGGACTGAGTGTCACCTTAAGTGGTAAAGGCAAGACCTGCAAAGAAGAGTAGCCACGGCCCCACCACAGACAGTGGTGCATGCGCACAGACCTTGGGTCTGAATTTTCAGGAGGCTGGGCGTGGGGGAGGGGGAAGTGGGGGCCATGAGGGAGGGGTGGGAAAATGAGATCTGACTCCTGAAAAAGAGGAACTTAATTGGCTAAAATGCAAACAGTGCAATGCCACAATGGAGACATTTAAATACTGGTAAATACTGCATGACAGGAAGAAAAAGAGCAAACCTGGAACTAAGGAGGAGGCAGGTAGGGGAAGGGAGGGCACCGCCAGTGTTTTTTCCATGGGTCTCCCAGACGTATTCAAGCTTCAAATTGTGTACACACATCACTGTGATAGACATGGGACTAGTGGTGTTTCAAAAGAGCTGAGACCTGTGTTCTCTTTCCAGGGTGGAGGCCAGTACCAAGGTCGGAGTGCGACCAAAATGACCGTCCATCGTGGCATGGTGATGGCCTACAGGATGAAGAAGCTGGTCATCAAGGACAAACACTGCAGTGAGCAGCACCTGAGAGCGGGGGTCCCTTCTGCTGCGGGAGCCAGAGCAGGATGAGGCCACTGTGTGCAGCCTCTGCTGTCCTCCCTGCCCAGTTCTCTACATCTGGGAAGCACAGATGTCCCACCATGCACAGCCATCTCCTCACAGGGCCCCGCTGAAATGCTGCTGTGGAGACGAGGACTCTGACCCTACATGGGAGGGTAGCCATTGGGGTGCCTGCTTGGTGATGTCCTCAGCACCAGGCAAAGTCTGGCCCACATCTCAGCTACCTCCAGGCACTCAATGTCCTCCTGTCTCAGGCACTCAGCAGGAGGAGCTCAAAGCCCCAGCAGGGAACCCATAAAGTCACACTGACACCCCAGAAGATAGCAATGGCACAAACAAAAAAATCAGCAGACCAAGTGTCCCAACTACACAACTCAGGCTTTTTCTCTACATCTGCCCTTTCCCTGCCCCAGATGCACACATTCCCCCATCCCAGGGTCCTGACCCCACCTATGCTGATCTCTGTGTGTGATGAGAGCTGGCCACTGAGTCGGGGGTCCCTCCTGCCTGACACTGAGTCCCAGCTGCACCAGCCCATTCAGCTGGGCCTGGGCACCTTTTAGAGGGGTGGATGGGGCACTCTCCCTCTTTCAGGTACATGCTTTACCCTCTGCAGTGACCTCCTGCAAATTCTGGTCAAGGGAGGGTACCAGTGAGCCTCAGTGGCAAAGGGTCCAGGGAGACTGGACGTTGATCTAGTGCAGGCAGTGGACTCTGGCTTCCCATGGAAGCCGGCTGCAGGCAGTCAGATCTCCACTGGGGCTCAGAAGGGGAAAAGGGAGGAAGGTCACAGACAGCTGCCCAGGGCCTGAGAAGGTGGCAGTGCTGGTAAAGACCACGGTGAACGGCCAGGTGGTTTTAACTCGGGAGGAGATGAGAAGGAGCCCACTTTCACAAATGGGAACAACTTGGAAGCCAAAAGTAACTGGTATGGTTTGAGGAGACCCCAGAGATCATGCAATGTGGAGAACCATGTCCCTATTCCCTGGAGGATGAGCTGCACTGGCTGAGGTGGGAAGACAGGGAGAGCACAGGGCACAGTGTGGACCCAAAAGGAGCTGCTCCAGGGAAGCAGAGAGGAGCCTGGCCTGGAGGGACAGGGGAGGACTGGGCGTAGAGATGGAAGGGGACGGGCCAGGATGGGTGTTGGTGATCTGGAGAGGCTGCATTCTGGGATCTGTGTCATTGCTTCTGTCCCCAAGAGATGAGGGCTACCACATTTTACACAGAGAAAGCACACACTCAGAGCCAGCCCACGTTTCTCCAGTTTCTGGACAGAGCTACGGTGCAGTATTAAGCGGCTCTGCGTGGTATTTCCCTTGCTTTACATGAAGATTGAATTCCTTCTCCAAAGTCAAGCACACTGCACAAGTCCCTTCAGTCAAACCTGCACTGTGTGGGCAGAGGGAACCCCTTCCCTCCGTGGTGGTCACAGTGCCACATGCAGGCCCTCTCTGGAGATCAGCCTGTCCCAGTTCACTCAGTTCACACCTGCCAAGCCCTGGGAACTTCTTTGTCTTGTTCACAGGCTCTTTTCCTGTGCCAGGCAATTAACCTGGTGTTAGAGGACTTTAAGACCTCAGCACGTTCTTAGAGGAAACCTCTCTGTCTCAAAGGGTGCCAGACTGGGAGTTGGTAGGCAGCCATCATAATGCTAAGGAAAGTTGAGCAGGAGAGGATTCTAGCAGACTAGGTGGGAGGCAGCCCATGTCTTTTACCTCTTTAGTGTTGGAGGACATCGTGGTCCCCAATGCTGATTTAAAATGGAGACCTCAGGGGAACCTGCCCAGGATCCAACTCCTTAGACCCAGGGCCATTGCTCTGTGGAGGCAGAGTGTGCTAAGCTGGAGGTGCAGGCATGGCATTGAGAGGCAGGGTAGCTACAGCTATGCTAATTGGGTTCCTGTCCCATCCAGGTATCCTTGTGATCGATGACAAGAAACAGAAGACCTTTCAGCAAGGTGAGACCAAGGGCCCTGCTGAGTCCTGAGGCCTTTGGATGCCCCAGCAGCTTTTCCTCGGAGGAGCCCTGGGACTCCTTTCCATGCCAGTGTCTCATCCCCTGTTGCTGGCCTCTTCTTCAGCCCAACTATAGACCCCAAGGGCCACAGGGAAAGCAGCTTATGTACTTTAAGCCCTGGGACAAGTTCAGTTTGATAGGGGAGTCATCAGTAGGGAAATTTCTCTACTGAATAGCGGAGACTGAAGAAAGTGGGGAGAGCTGGAACTGTGAGTGGAATAGGGAAAAATGGGAAGAGGAGGATCAGGAGAGAGTCCAGGTCTCAGGAGTGCACTCTGCCCTTTCTCTTTCCAGAGAAACCACAAATGATAATCATGCATTCTGCTCCAATAAATCCTGGAAATGTGGTATATTGTGCTGGCACAACCAGGAAGTCTTCGGAAAGTTTGTTTGTAAGAGAAACACCCAAGCAGTGGACAGAACTCCACAGTGAGCAGGAACCCACGGGAGGTATGTGGGTGGGGTAACCCCTTCCAAGGAGAAAGAGCACTGCAGGGGCTCCTGTGTACCATTTCTGCTGCTCTGCCCGTCTGGGGGGCAGTGTGGGCAGCATCTCTCCCTGTCTGGGCACACATTTCCCACCACCCAGAGCCTCCTCCCCCTCTCATGGCCCAGCTGAAATGCTTCGGGGGAGACACAGAGACCAGAGCTGCATCCTTCAGTCTGCACCTGGGGAACCCTCCCCAGGCTTTGCTGCCATCCCCTACTGTTCAGCAGTGGGACTCCATGGCCTTAGGGAGGCATAGGAGAGGGATGGGGGGGGGGAGAAGAAAGCAGAAGCAGAGTCTCTGAGATTAACACTTGGGTGGGGCTTTTATTTTCTCTTTCTAGAGCTGGATTTGAGCCTCATCCTTCCACTTGGTGAGTGAGTGACAGCTGGGCTGGGGGTTCGGACTCCTCCTGCACACATTGAGCCAGAAGCTCCTCTTGCCCTGGCCTGGCTGCACTGTTCTGGACCTGGTCTCTGGGTCCTGAGGAGCCTGAGGCCAGGGAGCCCAGTGCTGAAGAGGGAGGGGCGAGCATGGGGGTGGCCAGAGGCCAACAGCAGAGGAAGGGGCCCAGGAGGAGGGCAGACCCAGCAGAGTGGGTCCCAAGGTCAGTTTGGGATGAGGAAGGTAATTTTCTGATTCTCTTTCCAGGAAGACTAGAGGAACCCTTTGGGCAAGGTGAGTGTGTATTAAGAGGGAGGGATCTGGGCCTCTGGGTGGGAAACAGAAGGTCGAATGTTGATATTGGAAGTCTCTGTTTGGATAAGGAGAGTGGGCTCCGCTTCCCAGTGGACATGCTGGTTCCAAGTCTTTACTCATGCAAGCTCGCAGTGAACACCTGTGAGGCCTCCCAGAGCAGCACTCTTACTGTAGGGCCTGAGTTATGTCAACTAATCCAGCGTGGAGAGATGGCCAGTGCTTCAGGCATGCTCTTTACTATTATCCCCTTCTCAGTGCATCGCCTGATGCTGCCTGAAGCCTCCTGGGAGCATTCCATATTTCAGCTTCTGTAATTCTTCAGGCATTGACTATGCTGGTGCAGCTGTGAGATAATAAGCCAGGCTCCTCTGTGCCAGGCACTGTGCAAACATAGTTTTATTTGGTCTTCACTGTGGCCCCTGTGAGCATGTGTGGAAATGGACCCCAGAGCTCTGAGGATCTTCACATGGTGAGCTGAGGACTAGGTTTCATAGTGCTCCTGCCTTTCCCAGAATGAAATTTTGGTCGATTTCTTCCACCATCAGGGTCAGAATCATTGTGGCCATCCCTGCGATTCTATGCTCTACTTCCAGAGCACTGAGACTGTCCGCCTTTCTAGACTCTAAGGACACTCTAGTGCGAGAGCCTCAGCCGTGTGAGAAGAAGACTTGGATGAAGTTCTGAGAGACACAAAGGAGCTTGGCTCTAGGCAAGCGGGGAGGTTATAGGATATCAGGACTGTGCTAACTGTAGGATTTCATGTGCTCATTTTCTGAGAACAGATTTCCCTTTCCTCCAAGACGAGGTGTCTGGAAATGTGGAGGCACTGGCCCAGGTCTCAAAGGACCAAAGGGCCGTCATACTCCACAGTATCCTGTCCATGCTGGGGGACAGAGAGGCACTTAAGGACCTGTTGGATAAGGTGAGGGTCCCCTCCCCACCCTAGTGGATCTTGCTGTGTGGCAGCGGGGGGATGTTTAGAAACTGGTTCCTGTATAGCATAAGGAAGAGAGAGGAGGAAATGTCCAGGACGTGGGAAGTACCAGGAGGGCTGTCCCCACATGAAAATCAGGGTACAACTGTTGTGAACAAGACCACCCGTCTCCTGCAGTTGGAAATGGAAAACCTGGGCCATCTGGAAGGGCCTGGTGGCAGGCTCCTACAGGAGCTCCGACAGGAAGCAAGCCCTCGCTGGGTTGACCTAGAGCACCTCACTGTTTACCTCCTGGAAGTCTTAATGGGTAAGAGTGATTAGAGGGAGGTGTGGGCGGGTCCTCATGGTGCATCCCAGGGCTCCTCCATGGCAGCCTTAGACAACAGCTCTCCTCAGGCCTGCAGTTAGGATGCTTCTCAGGTCCCCTTTCCCTCTAAGGTCAGGAAAGCTCAGGGTGACAGCTCCTCATGTGACACAGCCTGAGCTCCAAGCGCAGAGAGCCAGTGGCCACCAATCCTAAAGCATCCACGAGTCAGATGATTCCAGCCCGAGAATCCCCCCTTGGGACCTCGGTTCTCAGCACCCTGGAGATCATCTCCAGGGAGAAGGAGCTCAGAGGGCAGGCGCTTTACCCGCAAAAGTAACAGGAATTACCCCTCCGCCTCAGCATCCCCTGTCACTGGGTCTCCTTCCTGGTGAGAAGGATGACTAGACTCTGTTACTTTTCTTCTGCATCATGTCTCTGTCCCCAGTGCTGAGTGATCACCAGCTGCTCCTACTGGTGCAATCTGTGGAGAAGAGGATTCTGCTTCCGCAGCGAGAGCTGGTGAGATGTCCTGAGGCTCTAGCACTCTTGGGAGAGGGCCAGGGAACCTGGAGGAATGTGCTTTTCAGATCGGTTGGGAGGTTTTCTGGGAGGGTAGATGCGACCCCAGTAAGGTCTTGGGACATCCTGCCTGCAGTGCCCCTCAGGAGAGCTGCCTCCTTAGCCTCAGTCCACCTCAGGAGTGCCTGTGTTATCATGGACCCACCCACAGTTGGTCCCAACCGGTCTAGAGGGCCAGGTCTTTGAAAGCCTAGAGGATGTAGCATACATTCTGACATTATTTCAGCGTTTCCATTTGCAAATTGTTCTCTGTCTTCACATAGGTGGTATCAGCAAAAGAAGTGTTGACTATTAAATTGAAAAGTTATTACAGTAAGAGATACATTGTCTCTTATTACACTCTGCTGCCAAAGACCCACCCCAGTGGGGACACACTGATCCCGTCACCTTTACCGCTTTGTGAGCAGGTTCTGGAAGTCCTCTCTCTTGAGCGTCTTGTGAGGTGTGATCATAGTCCAGGGTGTGCTACAGCCAGGGGCCATTCCATGAGAAGACGGACATGTCCTGTCATGACAGTGGGCCCCTTGCCCTTTATTTCTTGGATCTAGTGCTCTGCAGCCTCTGGTCCTTCCCCAAAGTCAAAATGACCATGAAGATAAACAGTTTGAATCTATTCAGGATATGGAGGCAACCACAATAGCTCAATAAAGATACTAAGGAAAGGTAACCTTTACAACCGGCAGGAATGGTTGGGCCAATGTGTTCGAAACAAGTGGAATATCTGAATGGGATTAATGGCAGTGTGTCTTGTACATTTAAAAAATTGAAATGTTGGCCGGAATTTAGCTCAGAGGTAAAAGCGCCTGCCTGACAAGTGCAAGGTCCTGAGTTTGATCCTCAGTACAAAAAAAAAAAAAAACCAAAAAATTTAAAATGTGTTTTCTCCCCTGATATGGACCTATAGATACATATGTGTTTAGGCACATAGAGATACCTATGCACACGTTACTGCCCCCTGACATTTTTATCCTAGGAGGCAGGCTGAATACCACTGTTCTGTAGCTGAGGAGCCAATGCACAGGGATTTTTTATGCCCTGCTCACACCAGCACCTGGCCCCAAAGCCCTTGCCTCTTCTGCTGTCCTCAGTGGTCCCTGGATGTGGACACAGAGGGTTTCTCTCCCCACTTCCAAAGGTTGATCTGTGCCATCTGATCCTTCTTCCAGGTGAGGAGCATCCTAGAGCCAAACTTCAAGTACCCCTGGCACATCCCCTTCACCCTCCAAGCAGAGCTCCTTGCCCCACTCCAGGGAGAGGACTTGCAGCTCACCTATGCCCTGCTGGTGGAGTGTGACCTCAAGATGGCGCTGGAGAGCCGCCGGTCAACCTGGCACCTGGGAGCCAAGAAGCCCTTGTCTGCCCTCTATGTGGCCCTGTCAGTGCTGCTGAAGCTGGCTGAGGCCTGAGTTCTCCCTGGAGGCCATCAGTCCTGGGAGGCCTGGCCCACCCCAGCCCAGGCTCTGGGAACCCTCAGCAGGCTGGGAGCCTGCTCCAAGCCTCTTTGCTCCCCATGGTGTGTAGAGACAGGGACTGGGGGAGACTGGAGGGAGTGCTCTAGGGTGCTGACAAGGATTAATAAATCTTTTAAACACCTCAAAGGGGCAAAGCTCCCTTTTATGTCCTTATTTTAAATTCTGGCTCGGGCACAGGCCTAATTGTTGATGCCAGTGCCATTTGGGGTGTGTCTGTTCCCCTCACTCTGCTGGCCTATACATCATTTATCCACAGATACACCAACACCTACACTGATTTGTTGGGCATTTCTCCCTCCCGTGCAGCTAAAACAGTGTAACTGATGGTGACACCAAGCACCAGAGATATCGTGCTGTGCCGGCTGCATTCTCCCCGCTGCACTCAAATGTGTGCAGCTTCCTGCCCTTACCTGGATCTCTCGTGGGGAGTTACCAGGAGGGAAGCAGGTCATCTTTCATAAGTTCATGATTTACCTTTATCCTCAGTCAGTGACTATGTAAGAAGGATCAATGCACGTGTCCGTAAAAACACCAACCCTAGTCTTAGGGGTCGAAGCTCTGAAGGGCCATTCAAGCCCCTCAAACCCCAGGAATCTCCTGAGGTCTTGGTTCCAAGACATCGTGGCTCAGCTGCCTCTGCCTGCTCCCAGGTTCCTTATTTCCTTGAAATCATTGCTTCACAGGGAGCATCCAAGAGCTCCTGGACACAAATTTCTAGTTCCATTTGTTCCCGGGGATACCTGGCCAGAGATGTCATGGAAACCATGGGTTTGTACAGTACCTCTATTCCGAGTCCTCCCTGGATTCTTCTCTCCTCTCACAGTCCACACAGCCTACTTCTCTTCTTCCCCACACTGCCAATATGTTTACCATTTTCTCAGCTTTATTAAAGACTCCAGATATTTCCAGGACTGCTAGATTCTACCGCAAAGCACAATTTTAAAGACGATTTTACCATTTATTCATAGTTCATTTTGGCTTATTTAAATTTTAAAACTATAGTGCTATATTCAACATCATTTAGATCACTAAGGTTTTTTTTAATGTTTTTTTTTTTTTTTTTATCGCTACCAGGGATCAAACTGACAACTGCACACTTGCAAGGCAGGCACTTATGCTGCTGAGCTAAATCCCTAGCCCACTAAGGTTTTTTTATTTTCTTCCTTCCATTGGCTTGGTTTATTCATTTGAAACTCAGCACGCTTCATCTGTTTATTGTTACATTAATTTCAGTCTTTCTTTTGTACCTATCTTTTTTGAATAAATTTCATTTTTCAAATATGTAGTCTTTACCATCATTCCCAGAGTCAATATAATATAGAAAGATGTTCCTCAGCAGAGTGCCAGTTTCTCTCTATGTCTTTCACCCCATTTCCCAAAACTTTTGTAGCTTACTAATTTCATTGATTTCTGGTTTTCTTTCCAGTGTTTCATGTATCAAGAATAAGCCAACAATTTATATTTTTCATTTTCCTTTCTTGAAGGGAATATCTATGTATAATCTTTTATTTTTTTCTATTCCCTAGAAAAAATTTCATATCCATATCTTGAAAATCACCTTTTATGTAGATTTCAGGTGTCCTTTACTGGTTGTAAGGAACCTTAGTTTGTTCACCCAATTTACTCTGGAACATTGATGTGAATTTGCATCATTTCCACATACAACTAGTGCTTTCCTAATCCTGTGCACATGCACTTTCTGTTGTTGGATATTTATGTTCAGGACATTCTCAGAAGTGACGTTTCTCTGTCCAGGTTTTATACATGTGTGTTTGTCAGACATTACCAGGTCTCTCTGCTCAGCCTGTTAATTACCCGTCCCCACCAGCAAGGAATGAAAGCCCCAGTGGCATTCCTGGCTCAGCCAGTGTTCAGTTTTGCCTAAGATATAGCGTTGTACTATACTCCTCCTAATTTCCATTTCTCTGACTGTGACTAAAGATGAGTATCTTTGCAAATAGTGTCACTACTGGATAACTGTCCACTTCTTTGTGAGTTATTTATTAAAGTCTTTCAATTTAAAATGTTTTGACTCCTCCCCTTAACTTTCAAAAATGTCGTCATATTAGAAATGAAAGGGTTTATCACAATATTTCTGTTATTTTATTTGAACTTGCCATTTGCCTTGTTATTTCTGAGGATCTGGGCCTCTTCAATACTAGCTTCATTTTTCTGGCTCTGAGAGTATGTGAAAAACCCACACAAATGGAAAAGTGAGCTTATTTACAATTTGGCAAATTGGGCCAATTTGAGTGAACAGAAACACTACACTCATTGGAAGCAGAATGTGGGCCAGGAAACTAGGCACAGACTCACTAGCAGGCCCGGAACATGATGAGCTTTGGGCTGCACTGATTCCTTCTGTAACACAAGTTCTCATTCTCAGGATGAAGAAGCTGAACAAATAACTTGCCTTTATTTTAATTTTTGAAAATACTTTCATTAGCACATGTTTGCATGTATGAGGATCACATGCCTGCGGGGATTTTGGTAATGCACATAACACATCTTAATTTTTTTCACTTCCCCCTTCCTTCCTCCCCTCTCACTTTTGTATGGCTTATTAGAATTACATTCTGCACAAATCTAGCATTTTCTTTCTCTATTAGCTGTTTCCAAGAGGTAGCTGGTATGCATTGTGTTGCTATAAACCTGGCTAGAATGCAATGCCTAGGTCCTTTGGGAAGATAATGTGAACACGAATATATGGATCAAGTGGATTTCTAGTTTTTGTTTTTTGTGGAATCTCGGTCCTCATTTCCACAGCACTTGGCCTAGCTTACATTCCCACCAACAAATCAGAAGAAATCCTTCTCCCTCAGAACCTCATGAATTTTTATTATCTGGTTTCTTGATGATAGCCATTGTTTCAGGAGTAAAATGAAATCTCAGTGTTATTTTAATTTGCATTTCTTCAATGATCAAAATGTTGAACTTTTTTTTCATGTATTGATGTGTTATTTGTACTTCTTCTCCTGAGAAGTCTCCCTTCATCTTGAAGCAGAAAACTCCACCCGACCCCAGTACACTTCAGTTGGTTACACTTCAGGTATTAGTTCCGGTTATAGTTTCTTTTACTTTTTCCTTAGGAACAGGTGGTTCCTGTGATGCACATGTGAGAAACAACCCCCAGGTGAGAAGCCGTTCTGCCTCTGTACTCCCTACTTGCTTCTCCCACTAGAGACCAGGGTCTGATATTTTGGGAATGATCTTGATCAGTGCCTGTCTACATATGTAAATCCGCCTCCAGTGCTGGCTGTTGCTTCGGTGTTTCTGTCTGCCATTACAATCTTGGTAGCCTAATTTAAAATTCGGTCCTTTATACTTTGAGTCCTAATTGCTTTTGAGTTCTTAATTTATTCTAAATATTAGTCCTCTGAGGAATAGCTAGCAAACCTTCTTATTCTACAGGTTGTCTCTTTGCAATGTTGACTGTTTATTTTGCTTTGCAGAAGTCTTTATTTTGCTCTGATTGCCTGTAGTGATTCTTGATGTTATTTCTTGTGCACTGGGCTTTTTTTCAGAGAGACCTTGCCTATGCCTGGCCTCAAAAGTTTTACCTATCTTATTTTCAAGCAGGTTTAGTGTTTCTGTTTGAACATTTACATCTTTGGTCCATTTTCATTTTAGTTTAGTACAAGTTTAGAGATGTGGGCCTAGATTCAGTTTTTGGCACATGGATAGTCTGAGTTCCCAGCATATTTGTTAAAGAGGCTCTCTGGGATTGTTTCATTGATCTTCACGTCTGTTTTTGCCTTTTTTGTCACTCTAACTTTGTATCATAACTTGAAGCTCTTAGTTATGATGCAGCCTGCTTTGCTCTTCCTGCTAGCAGTGCTTTGGCCATTCTAGGTCTCTTCCAGTTTCAAGTGAATTTTAGCATTGTTTACTCTAGATGTGTAGGGGTTGGTGTTGGTATTTTGGGTAGGATTGCGTTAAATCTATATATCAAATCTTAAAAAGCATGAGATGCAGAACTGAGTGCAGGAAATTCACAGGTTGGATAATTTGGCTGGCTTGACCTTAACTTGTGTGGCATAGGAATGGATGTGTTTACCTTTCACATGGAGAACTCTCTGTACCTCCAACAGATTCATTAGATGCTCAGTGCTTACCTTTGCTAGAGCAACCAGGAGAAGATAAGTAATAAAATGGATATGTACAAGAAAGGAAGAAGTCAAATTATCATTATTTGCAGAAGACAAAATCCTCCTCACACCCACCCAAACACACTAAAAATTAGAAACCAAACTCAGCAATATGGCTGGGTCCAAAGATCAACACACAAAAATTTACAGCAGTTTGGTATACTATAGTGAACTCACTGACAAATAAGTTAGGACAAAAATACGACTCACAATAGCAGCAAGAGAATTTGCCCTTCCTACTAACCAGGGGCAGCCATGCAGGGCCAGGAAGACAAACAAGAAGCTATTTTTCCCTTCCCATGGGAGACAAGGAAAACCCCTCCTCCCATGAGCAACCAGCTGATTCAGAGGATCATAGGCTAAGTTGATAGTAAAAGAGGTACAAAAATGACTTAATTCTTATATGATTTGGTTGACTTTTCAGGCCTAAAACAAACAGTCTGAACATCTATTTAGAGGATAACAATATGCAATATAGCAACTATGGAGGATCTCCTTCTGTCTTGACTTTGAAATTTATTATGGTCCTTACTGCTCTGTTTTATTCCACTTTATTGTTTTATTTTCTTCAATATTCTGTTTGGTTTTTTCTATTTTATTTTTTATTTTAAAGAGGATAAAGCTAAGGAAAATAAAACAGAATAAAACCAATCAAAACAAATCAGTGGGACACAGGACTTCCAAACAATAAGGAATCAACAAAGGTTCCTATAATGCTGCTTGATGTCCTCAAAATAGCTGCAAGTACCTTCAGACATGGTGAAAAACAGACAGAACAGAACAGAATAGAACCAGCACAAACAAAACAATGAATGTAATGGAGGACTTCAAAACGAGACAATGGTAAATGCAAAATGGCTACCATAACATATCTTGCTATCTTTAAAATACCTATTCTTGCCATCAGATATAACAAGATCAAACAAACAAAAAAATCAGAACAAAACCCAACCCAACCCAACAAAAGAATAAAAATGA